TCCAGCCAGGCTCCCCCTTCTAAAGGTTTCACAAACTTTCCAAACTTGGCCACCAGTGTTCAGACACACGAGCCTATGTTCAAACTACAAAGCTCTAAACGTGTATTTTAAATACAGTCATCTTCATAACGTCAGAATGATTTTAATTTATTTCACCATTCAATAGTGTTGCTTCTGATTTATATTCCATTTATTTAAAATAATTCCACCCAACTCTTAAAAAATAAAAGTGAGATTTATTTATTTAGGTAGGCCTTTAATGCCCATAAATGTCACCAAACATAGGAATAAGCCAGAACAGAAAGATACAATGATCATAACAGATTGCTTAATGTAATTTATTCTGAAAATTAAGAAACAACCTAGACTATTTAGGCTTCTTCCCAAGGCCTTGGAAGAGGCTCATGCATGGGAGGAGACCTGAAGCCTTAATCTCTCTTGACTCATCTTTCTGAATGTCAACATTAGCTGGGTGTGCATTTTAAGTGTCTGTATGCTATTGTGGTGGTGGGAAGAGAATTCATTTGAGTAAGCCCATTTATTTGAATACTTGATCCCCAGTCGGTGCAACTATTTAGAAAGGATTAGGAGGTGTGGCCTTATTTGGAGGAGGTGTGTTGCTGGGATGAGCTTTAAGGTTTCTAAAGCCCATGCCATTCCTAGCTCGCTCACTCTCCCTCCCTCCCCACCCTGCTCTCTCCTCTGCCTCACACTTGTGGATAAGGATTTAAGCTCTCAGTTGGTGTACCGTGCCTGCCAGCCTGCCACCACACTCCCCACCATGGTGTTCTTGGACTCTAACCCTCGGAACTGTGAGCCCCCAGTAAACTCTTCCTTCTGTAAGCTGCCTTGGTGAGATGTTTCTTCACAGCCATGTAAAGTAACTGAGACAGCTATCATGTGAGCACATACCTATAGGTGTATGCACACGTGCTGGAGAGCATGACTGTGGGGATTCTTTAGATGCAGTCACGTGAACATGGCCCCAGAAGCAAGGGGTCTTCCACCTGCACTGAAAATAGGGTAGGCAGTAGGCGCTCCTGACATGACTGAGGCGAGGGACAGACAGCAGGGGACCCGATTTCCATTCTCCAGGGTCTGATCCAGCTTCTGCCCTCTTCTCGGCTCTCTTCTGACTTCCTCTGCAGATCATAGCACAGGACAAGAAGAACACAGTCTCTAGAGCCCTTCGGCTGGGTTCAAATCCTGCCTCAGGACATGTGCTGGTCCAGGTAGACAGTCTCTAGCTAGAGTTTGAGATCTACAGCAACTCTCAAGCTTCTAGACAAAACCAGAATAGACAAGGAGAGTATATAACCCATTGCCATAAAAAGGAGGAGCATGGAAAAACAAAGGGACTCTAGGCTCAGTGTGTGGATACTGTGGTACTAATAGCCTATGTACAGTTGAAACTAGTCTAAATGACATTTCTGTCATTTGCAGCTAGAGATGCATGTCCTAACTGTGACCCCGTGCCTACCCCTGCTCCTGGGATGATCTCTGTAATGGCAACACAGCCCACTCAGAGGCAAACCAGGGTCTGAAGTCCTCCATGGAGATCGCTTTTGTCTCATCTAGGGCGTCCACACACCAGCCACTGGGGAGAGCTGTGCGGACCATTTGCTGCACAAGTGCACAGGGCTGGGAACGAGTGGGGCTAGTGTCCAGCCTGTCCCCTACTGCTGAACCATAAATCTCAAAGCCAGGGCAGTCTTCGGGGGGGGGGGGGGTAAGGGGCAGTTGGTTCTCAGTATAGAAACTACCCTCCTCTCGCCTGATAATCATCTATTTATTCCCATGTCCACCTCTGATTGCACCCCCTATTTCCCTTCAGAATATTTTTCACTACACACACACAGACACACACACACGTTACATATACATATATATGTATATATATGTATATACACTATATACACACACACTATATACACATACGTGTGTGTGTGTGTGTGTGTGTGTGTGTGTGTGTGTGTGTGTGTGTGTGTGTGTGTATTAGTTACTCTCTTTGTTCTTTGTTTAATGGGAATATCCCCTATGACTTTTAGGTTATGTGACAGCAAGGCTATGCCCTTCGAGTTCTTCTTTGGACCTGCAATACTTCCACATTATTTGTTGCATCCCTAGTCCAGCGCATGCCATGTGTCACCCTAGCAATCCCAGCAGCCTCTGGACTGGTCCTCTGTAGTATAGCTGCTTCATTAGCCTTGGAAGGATCCTTGCCAACACGAAGCAGCACACATCTTGACAGCAGCCATAACAACAAAACAAGCAGACCTTTGCAGGTGGAAGCCCAGTGTGGTGGCTCACGCCTGCAACCTCAGCTCTAGGGCTGGCCAAAGAAGATCGCCAAAGAGTTCGAGGGCAGCCCAGGACACGGTGAGTTCCAGGCTAGCCCGGCTACAGAGTGAGATCTCATGTCAAAAAAACGAAACAAAAAGTAAAATAACATCAAAAATCTGTCCTGCTGGCGGCTAGGTCTCTGGTAATGGGGCCGTGAATATTCCCTCTTGGAGAGAGGGAGGAAAAGTCACAACACCCACTTTCACTTCTCCCCGAGATTCCAATCCCATGCCCTCCAGGCCCAGCAGCATACAAGAAGGGCTAGGGGTTGAGGATTTAGCTCAGTGGTAGAGCACTTGCCTAGCAAACACAAGACCTTGGGTTCGAGCCTCAGGTCTGAGTGGGGGAACAAAGACAAAATAACAAAAAGAATAATTAGGACTAGAGAGATGGCTCTGCTGTTAGGGATTTGGTTCTCAGCACCCATGTTGGGCAGCTTACAACCACTTGTTAATTTCAGCCCCAGGGGTGGGTGGGGGCTGATGCCGTTGGCCTCTGTGGGCACCTGAGCACACGTGAGACATGTAACTAAAAATAAAATAAATCTTTTAAAAAGCTCTGAAGTATATAAGAGGTTTAAAAAAAAAACTGCTGTGGGCTGGTGAGGTGAGACTGCTCAGCAGGTAAGGGCGCTTGATGATGCCCTGGGCTCAGTCCCTGGAATCACTGTGTTGGAAGACGAGACTGAGTTCCTTCAAGTTGTCTCTGATCTTCCACACATGCCATGGTGCGCGCACACTTGCAAACACACACTTACACACATACAAGAAATAAATATTTAAAAGAAGTTTTTTTTTAGAGCCAGGCGGATCTCTGTGAGTTCGAGGCCAGCCTGGGTTACAGAGAGAGTTCCAGGAAAGGCACAAAGCTACACAGAGAAACCCTGTCTCGAAAAACCAAAAAAAAAAAAAAAAAAAAGATTTTAATTGTTTTCTGGGGGTGGGGCTTCACTGTGCATCTCCCCACAAGTTGCCCATACTTCTGTAAGTAACCCCAATACATTCACTTATTTGCCAGGCTGGACTCAATGGAATCTTTCTTTGGATGGTCAGCTCCTTCTCTATATAAGGTGACATTTCTTCACATCTCCTCAGGAAAGTCACAAAACCTCTTTCTGTCTCTTTGTGTTCCATCTTATCTGTTTGATCAGTCCATACAGACCTTTCTAAAGCACAGATTTATGTCTGTTCTTCCCGTGTGCTGATTCCTCTGGGGCTCCCTGTTGCCCTCAGGATGCAGTTCAGTGGAGGCGCATGTGGTCCTGCCTCCTCCTCTGTCTCCTCAGCTCCTTCTGAGCAGCTGTCGGTCCATGAGGTTGCCCCTTCCCCCCACTCCATGTTTTCCTTCCACTTTGAGTGCTCGCTCCCATCCAGTCCCTTCAGGACTCTTACTAGAGGCCATCTGCTCGTGTTATTCTGCACCCATGTGGGCCGCCCCTGTCCTCACCCACAGTCTGTGACCAACTGTGGGAAGATCCAACCCCAAATGTCTGGGTGCTTCCCAAAGGTGGGGAGTGTGTCAGGTGTCAGTGTGTCTTCAGTATAGAACTCAGCATCTGTCCAACGGGCAGTCATGGCCTCCCTGAGAGGCCTGGAGGGAGGGAGTGTAAGGAACCCTAAGGACATCTGAGAGGGCAGATTGAGCATCACAGTAATAGAAAAGCTTTGCGTGGCTCCTCCAAGATGGTGTCTGGGGAGCAGAGCCCACTCTCAGGATGGAGTGGTCCTTCTTGAATGCGTCCTTTCTGTGTCGTGGACCTGGCCTATGGGAGTTCAGGAAGAGGATCTGTAGGACGGAAGGCAGGAGCTACTGAGGTCCTGGGGACAAGTGTGAGTGAGGGAGAGCTTGTGCCGGGTCATTCATTCCAGGGGAGGATACAGATTCCTCTGGGGGGGGGGCTCCAAGTTTACAGTCGTGTTTTGCCTCCTCTTATTTCTCCGGGCACCTCTGAAACAGCACTTTGTCCAGGAAGCCCTCCTTGAACTCTGTCTGCACCAATGGCTTCCCCTCTGCCCAGACTACCCAGTCTGATGAAAGCACCACAGCACTAGAGATAATACTGGTCCCAAGTGCCCTTCTTCTCACAGGCTCTGATTTCCTTGGGTGAGGCAGATGGGAGGGGCAGGGGGGGGGGTCCCCTACAGCTTGGAGCCTAGCCTAGCCCTCCTTCATTATCTAGCACCTTCCAGCCTCCTTGCTACCCTTATGCCGCCTACAGGGGTCGCTGTGAGACAGCTTGCCCAGATTGTGGAGTTTTTTTTTTTTTCCTGATCCCCTTGACTTACCCAGGAAAAGCCAGAGCCACTGATGTATAAATTAGAGTCTTTATTTCCAACACCTGAGCGAGTGAGCCCCGAGGCTCGCCCACCAGAGGAATAAACATACAAAGTTCGTGTTTCACTACACAACATGCCTCAGAGATAAATACAGCCCCAGGGGGCTCTGGCTCTGGCCAAGCAACTCTTATTTACACGAATAGATTACAAAAGTCTTATATAAAAAAATAAGTGGTCCTGAACCGCGAGTGGGTCAAGGGAGGGTGGGATATGGTTACACCTGTTACACACGGGGGACTGGAGCGGCCTCCCCAGGCTGTGGGGAACAGTGGGTGTCCGGGAGGCCTCCGGAAAGTGGAGCTCCTTGTCTCTACAAACAACCGGGATTTGGAGGGCAGGGCTTAGGTGTGTGAGGCTCACCCCTGCGCGAGGAGCTGTCAGGAAAAGGAAGAGGGCCTGGCTGTTTAGGGATCAGCTCTGGCCCACTGAGGGACAGCAAGTGGCTGTCTCTGTGAGTCGCATGAAAAACAAAACAAACAAACAAAATCAACAACAACATCAAAGGGACTGCGTCCTTTCCTTGGGGACCGATGTGAGGACAGACTTCTGCTCCGCCCCTCTCCAGCTTCTGGATGTGTGGCTTTGAAAGGACAGTTGGGAGGAGTGTCATTTAAGTTTCCTCTTTTGGGCGTGAAGGACCCTCGGGCACTAACCCCGGGAGTGTAGGCAGTGCGCTCCCTCGGGTGGTCGCAGCCCAGCCTACCTCTCAAAGCACCTGGTAGATCGGATTGGGGTTCGCGCCTACAGGGCACTGTGGGGTGGCGTCAGGGGACGGGGTCTGGGCCCCCTGTTCTGTGTCGCTTGGGGATGCCCCCTCTGGAGGAGATTCTGGTGCTGCGTCTGCCAGCAGCAGCGCAGGCGCAGCGGGGCTGTCTGTGGAGATGCGCTCCACGATGCTGGATAGGCAGTCGAGGCTCGACACCGCCGCACTCTTCCCTGGCCTGGATTCTGTAAGGGGAGGGGAAGGTTAGTAATCTAAGCTTGAATCTCTTCAAGTTTCTTACCCCGGAGCAGAGCACAGAGTTTGGGGACAGAGGGGAAACTGAGGACTTGCCAGACAGCAAGGAGAAAGAAGAGGAAGGTGCACGTCGTAGTTGCTTACCCCCAACCAAACACGCCCCCTCGCCATCCCAAGACACAAGTGTGTATGTGGTGGGGGTGGGTGGGGAGGAGGTACTAAGCCTGGAGAGCTAGGGTAGCTTATAGGGGAGCACGGAAGGCCACTGACGGCCTGCTAGCTGGGAACAGCTGAGAATACGCACCGCTGGGCGCCTCGCTGTAGTAGGCGGCGTCGTAGCCGTTCTGACGCCGGGGGCCGCTCAGGGGACCGCTGTAATCCATCTGCGAATAGCAAGAATGACCGAGTCAGACCCACGGGGCGCCTGGAGCACTACTCCCTGTCACCGCCCCTCCCTCACTCCCCTAGTCTCAGCTGTGGGTTCCAGGACTGGGTCAGCTCTAGTTGGGAGGTAGGAGCCAGCATACATTGAAAGCTGTCGCATGCAGGGCCAAACTGAGACTAGATGGTCACCCAGGAACAAAAATCTGCATTTGGGTAATAAGGATTTAAGAAGGAAACGCATGTCCTGGGATCTGCGCAGCAGTGTTCTGATGGCACCCCCAAATGGGCAAATCGCAGATGACTAGGGTCTCCAAAGAAACCCCAGTGACAGATGTCAGTCTAAAGGACTCTCCCGACCCCAAAGGTCTCAGAAACACGTTGCAGATACCCCAGGTGCTGCCTACACTTGTCCTCCTTCTGGGTCCCGGCCTTACCATGCCGTCGGAGCAGTTGGAGCGCGGGCTGGAAGCGTCCGAGTCGCCGCTGTAGTGCTCGCTGCCTCGGCCCGGGGGCAGTGGGCCTGGCGAGTAGAAGGAGGCGGCTCCAGGGGGTGCTGCGTCCTGGTCGCGCAGCAAAGCCTGCAGACCTTCAATGTAGCGGATGGCATTGCGCAGGATCTCCACCTTGGGCAGCCTCTGGTTCGGGTTGCTGGACGTGCAGCGCTTGAGCGTCTCGAAGGCCTCGTTGACTTTGCTCAGGCGGCGCCGCTCGCGCATGGTGGCGGCCTTGCGGCGATCAGCGTTGGTGGTCTTGCGCTTGCACGCCTTGCAGGCCCACAGCAAGCAGCGACCAGCCTGGTGGTGCCCGCTAGGCGCGCGCACATGCTCATCCTCGCGAGCGCCTGGGCCTGGGTGCACCGCGGTGGGGAAGTGTGTGTGCTCCTCCGGTTTCAGGAGGGTCCCCACGTGCACCAGGCGCGGGTCCAGGTCCTCGAAAAAGCGCAGGTCGGGTGAGTCGAAACACGGGTCATCATAGAAGTCGTCGGCTGTGGCAAAGGAGCAGAGAGAGCCATCGGGGCCTGTCAAGTCTACGTCCCGGAGGGGCGGCGACAGTAGCTCCATATCCCAGCTCCTGGGCTTCTCGCTTCTGCCTCTTGCTCAACCCAAGTCGCAAGAGTCACCTTAACTTTCTGCCACTCCTGAACCTCGACAGTACAGTGACAAAGTGCTGAGGGCTGGAATGCACATCCACTGTCCTCTACCTCCCCTCCTTGTCCTGTCCCGTCGGAGTTGTGGCGAAGAAAGCGATCGTATTGGGACTTCCTCGCCCCTAGCTTCGCGCCAGGCGCCCTGGACTATTTATCCAGGGTAGCCTAAAAGCCCGGGGAGCTGGAAAGGGAGGCTAGGGGCGGGGGCGCCCCAAACCAATAGGAGTGCAGCAGGGCGGAGCTTGGGGTCCCCAGGGCAGCCACTGGGGCCAGGGAGTGCCCCCTCCCGCGGTTCTGCGCTGGGGCAGGGAGGAGGGCAGAGACTGGCAGGCAGACTCCAGCCATGGCACTTGGCTATCCGGTGCAGCCTGGTGCAGCCTGCCCAAGCCGCTCGCTCTAGTGCCTACTCCTCCAAGCTCCGTGAAGCTGGCCGCTGCGCTCACTTCGGAGCTGACCTTGGATCTCACCGTCTCCTGATTTGTGGGGAAACCAGGCACAGAATAGGAGTTAGAAATCAGATCACAGGAGATTTGGAGACAGACACAAGGCAACGGGGCAAAGAAACCCCTCTAGAGAAGCAGCAGCGACATCATGGTGACACTCAGAGAAGTTGAGCCAAGGACGAAGTGCGCAAGGGACAGTGAGACTCGGAAGGTCTAAGTGGGAAGCCTGAGGCAAATGACTTGGTGGCAGTGACATTTGGCTCATTCCCGATCTAGGAATGGCTTGAGAGCGTCTGGCGTTGCCCATCTTCCTCAGGAAGCTTAGAAACCCAGCGCAGTCCATGCGGTAGTTGGGGGAATCATCATTAAAACTTCAAGCCATTCTACTCAAACTCAGGGTGGGCGGAGGGAGGGAAAGGGAGGGAGGGAGGAAGGGAGAGGCTCCACTCAACTTACCCAGCAGGATTCCTTCTGTGGATGTCCAGAGAGTCACAGGGGTCTGCTGCTCTGTTTCTATAGCTAAGGTGAAAGCCAGTTTGCGGCAGTTTGTGTCCTCTTGTTCTAGAGTCCAGCCACGGGAAGTGCCTTTTCTTAAGGGCCATCCATGATGGCCAGGACCTGCCTGAGGACCGCACTTACCGTCGAGTCTGCATAACTTTGTGGGGGTGATCTCTTCCCAAGTCTGTTTCTACTTCACATCCATGGATAATGACAATGTCCAAGAGTAACTGTGGCGATGGTTGAGAATCCGAAGGGAGGAGGGTGCGGGGTGTCAGGGGTGCCAGCAAGAGAGCTAGCTTCTGTCTCCAGCACCTGCTTGTGTGGTATAACCAACAGGCTTCTTAGCCTTTGCCTGGGGACACCGAGCCCCAGCAGGGGGCCTTGGAGTCTCCAGGCTCTGTTCCTCTGGAGACTTAACTGTGTCTCTTCCTAGCAGGCTCACTGGGGAGGGGAGGAGCAGAAGGAGGCAGCCACCTCCCCGGAGCTCTGGCTCCCCTACCAGCCCCAACACACCCCACCCCTGGGATGCTCATGCCTCTTGGGGCTCGGGCTAGAAGTCTTCCTTGACCATGTAGCCCTGCTATGTCTCCTCTCCTGGATGCCAGAGATCCAAGCAAGGGTGATCCAGGTGTCTTTCCTACTAACTTCTGGAAGCCGTCTTAGCTGGCCTTTCTACGAACTGGGAAGCCCTCTCTGCCCCTCAGAAGTAGGAATCTCTTTTGGAGTCCAACTGTTTTCACTTCTCTGACACTGGCAGGGTTGACGGTCCCCTTCGTGACGCGCTCACCCTCTTTACTCCATGGCTTTGCCTTTGTTTAGTCATTCAGTGCTCTTGGTGGCGTATCTCCCCCACACCAGGCACTGAACAAAATGAAGGCCCTATTCACATAGTGTTTACATTGTAGGAGAGGATGGCAGACAAGCAATCGAGGAACTGTGTGGTATCAGGGATTTATAAATTCTACAAAATAATAATAACAACAAAGCAAAGTGAGAACTAGCCTTCATTCCAGCAGCCAGGGAAGGCCTCTCTGGGACGGTTGTACTTGTGTGGTGTCCTGGATGAAGGGAGACAGAAACAAGCTTAGCGGGCTTCGGGAGATGAGGTGGCTCAGTGGTTAGGAGCACCCACCGCTCTTGCAGAAGACCTGGGTTTGACACCCAGCACCCACTTGATAGTTTACAACTGCCTGTGGCACCAGTTCTAGGGGACTTGATGTCCCCCTCTGATCTTTAAGGCTCAAAGACGTACATGAGGGCAAAGCACGCAAATGCATATAAACTTTTAAATCTTTAAAAATAAAGATGGGGACAAGCAAGATTTATTTATGCTTGGATGTGGGCACAGGGACAAGAGAGACATTAGAGATGGCTTTTGGGAGAAAGGAACTGGGAAATAGTGGGTCTGTGAATGTCAGATCAAAGATCCAGTTTGGGCAAAGTTGGAAATTCACATTAAACATCCAGGTGGAGATGTGGAGTCGGAGTGGAATTCATGAGGCTGGAGGTCCCGAGGGGATGGCTGGGCGTGATGAACCCCTGTCCACTCTTCCTGTAAGACACCCACTAGGTCTGTCCTTCCTAAGATCACCACTAGACTGCGCTAATTCCTGTCCTTTGCTGACCTAGACGGCCCCACCGACATGTCTGCTCTCCTCACTGGTACCCCCAGGAACCCAACTCCTGCACAGCAGCCTGGGGAAACGGCAGAGGTCCCAGCGCTCTTTGCACTTACGTACCATCGTGCTCAGATGAGTCTCATCTCCTTCCCCAACTACGTGGCAGTTCAGGAACCCTACTCAGTCTGTCTTCACCACTTCACCTGGAGCCACCCTCCCCTCAGATGGCCCTGTCTAATTAGTCTCCTTCCTTCAGAGTCATGGAGTCTTGTGCCTGCTGTTCCAAGCCTACTGTCCTCTCTCCTGGCCCTACCCATGGTTGACAGTTTTTCAGGTCTCAGGTCTTAACTCCAGTGTTGCCTTCTTGGGATGTCTCTGGCCATCCCAGATAGCTACATCCCAGGCTTTGGCAATGTCACTCAGCCTTTACTCTATAATGATCTTGTCTGCTAGTTTTGTTCACTGAGGGACATAAAGGCATTCATGGCATGGGGATGTTTTGTTCACCATGGCATTTTCGGAAGCCACTGCCACGGTGATCCCACAGGGGGCACTTGGTAAGAGTCAAGTGAATCATCAGTAGTCTTGGGGTCTCCTAATTTCTACACTTGTATTTGAATTTAGCAAAATGTGTCACAACTTACCCAGTTTCATCAAAATTGGGCGCGGTGCACATGATTATTCCCACATGCTCTCACACTAGCTCTTCCCAGGCAAAGCAGAGGCTCATCTGCCTGGGCTGTGCTCCCTTACATTATACATGGCCTGTCCAAACACTGTAACAGTGTGCTACAGAGAGTTGTGATGGAGCATCACTCTAAATGTCTTTTCATTTGACTTAAACTCAGTGAAGAAGACAAGTCGTTGCTATTGTAATGGTTTTGATGGGAGCATCTGCCTCCTTTTTCGAACCTGGGCGGAATGTGCTCAGCACACAGTAGGCACCCCATAAATATTTCTTGGCTGATGAATGAGCAATTCCATTTAATTCTGCAGTGCTCTGGCACCTCCAAGGAAGCACTTCGAACAATTTACTTGTGCAAATCTAGGTTTTTATTTTTGTTTTTCTCAAACCCGAGCAAGCAAAGAAAATACAGAAGTAAATTTTGTGTAGAGATTAAACTATTACAACTTTGCTTTTTGGTTTATGGTCATCCACACTTGCTCCCTGCCACCCATTCTGGGGGATGCCATTGGTTGTGGGTTGAGGCATTGTCCCTTCAATGTAGGGCCTCTTGGACTGCAAGCCCAGTGACCCAGAGAAGCATATAGCTCACCCTGGGTCTCATTCTTCTCTCTCTGTAGGAGGGTCCTGTGATTCTCCCCCTGTCCTTTGCAGGTCTTACTGCTCAGTCCCTTGGCTGGTCTGCCGAGGGGCTATAAATGGAGAGCTGGCTTCTGGGCAGGAATGTTGGTCTGGCTTCTAGGGTGTTGCATCAGGGGGAGCGGCAGCCTTTATACATATATATAGCCTCTAGAAACCGGATCCAGCCAGCACCTGCCCCAAGCCTCAGGCACCTCTGCCCTACCCAGGCAGAACCTGGGGCCTCTGCACTTTGCTAGTGTAGGCTGAATTGCTGGCTTGGGTATAGGGGTCTGGAGGACCAGGGGATAAAAACAGGGGTGAGCCAGGTAGAGCAGAGGCAGCCCTAGGCCCAGTCTCTGTCCCTAGGCTTTCTCTTTCCCAATCTTTTGCTTCCCAGAAAGCCTGAAACTGCCTGCCACCAGGTAAAGAGCTGGTCAATTTAGGCTGATCTGGAAGGACTGTGATATTGTAGTTGGGCACAGATATGATCCTGGTCACTACCAGGGTCCCAGAGACTCTTCATATGTCCCACTCTGGCGGCAGGGAGCAGGCAGCCTCAAACTCTGGTGTGTGCAGGACCTTGGGAGTCTGGCAAATGAACTAGCTGGTGGACATCCTGTGTTCTCACACACAGTAGAGGACAAGAAAGTCAAGAAGGCATGGGAGCTATGGGTTTGAGAAGTGGTCTGCGCACTGTGGGAGTGCAGGACCCTACCATGGAACAGTCTATTCAACAAGCATGTATTCAGGTGCCGGAATACATCAAAGAAAAGAGTATCCCTGGCCAAAGCAAGAGGAACAACAAAAAATAAACACACCAATTAGTAAACTTTATGGCACACTTAAAAGGTAGAATGTGTGGTCAAAGATACTAAAGGCAGAGCAAGGTGGAAGGGATTGTGTGCGGTGCGGAGCTTTGTGTTAACTGGAGTGACATGGTGATATTTGAGCAAAAAGGTAAAAGATTTGGGACCAGTCCTTGTGCCCTCTAGGAAAGAACATTCCTGGCAGAGAAAGATAATATTGGAGCCCCTTCTGTGGGAAAGTTGCCTCTTCTGGGAGTGACAGGGTGGCCGTGACTCGGGGTCTGGTGCTGTGTGTGATCAGTGATGGCATGCAGAGGCAAGAGAGAGCTCAGCATAGGATTGGATGGGTAGTTTGTCAACCGAAGAAAAGCTTTCATTACCAACCAGGAAATCCTTTTAAACGTAGTTTAGTGGACCACAGTTTTCTCTGTGTAACTAAAAACTCCCAGCCACACTAACACTCTTAAATTGGGCATTTTTTTCTCAAGGGGGAATTTTCTAGCTAGGTAGTTTTACTTTAGTTGTGAATTCACTGAGAAGTAAAGCAGTTCAGCTCTGCATTCAAGGAGGTGGGAAGCTCCTCAGGGAAAGGGCAGAGGGCGCAGGGTGGCTTGCCATGGCATCAGTAGTGGCTTGCCAAGGCATCATTCAACTTTTCACCATGCAGGCCATGAACTATTTAGACCTCACATGTCTTGCACACATCACATACATTCACAGGCCATGTACACACTATGGGCCGTGCACCTATCGCATGTATGTGCAATGTGCATCTCACATGCCAGGCACACATCAGGTACCATGCATGCCTCATCCTATGTACTCCTGACAGATGATGCACACAGCACTTATATACTGTGTATATATACCTTATATACCTCATGAGCAAAGGACACCCATATGCTATTCACACTCCACATGCCATGAACACCTCATATCCCATTCATACTTCAGCTGCCTTTTACACCTTATCTACCACCCACACTCACACATGCAATTTACCCCTTACATGCCAATCATAGCACACATACCATTCACACCACACATACCATTCACACTCCACATGGAAATCACTTTGTACATGCTATGCACACTTCAAATGCCACACATATCATGTATGTTA